AAAAAAAAAAAAAAAAGAAATGCCAAGATACAAGTAGCACAAGGTAAAATTGAGACACTTCAAGGAAAAGAGAATAGAAATTAAAAATCCAACATTAGAAGTATCTATCTTTATATTTCATTCATAAAATTATCAAAAATTTCCAGAGTAGAGAATTTTTTTAAAAATTAGAATGTTTAGGATTAACAAGAATTAAAAATATTCAAATGGGCAAAACTATAGAAAAAACAATAACACACAGGTCAAAGGGACCAGAAAATAGGAATGATTAATAGAATTTCAGTGTTAATTTAATAATTCTTTATGAATGCATAAGTACATATTTTATGTGCCTAATTCATAAAGTTACCCAAAGATGAGGAACTAAGTATCTCTAAATGATTAAAACAAGTTACCCATTTGGAAGTATGAATATGAAAAAAGTCTCAAATAAATATGTATATACTGCCCTCATGGGGCAGTAATAGGTAGTTCATTAAAATATAAGCAGAAAATATATTGGACTCCTTGGATCTAGTTTAATCCTAATTATTCTAGCCAATGAAGAAGCAACACTGGTGTGACTAGTAACATAAACCATCTAAAAATCATTCACGTACATATTTCTGTTTATGCCATGTTTCCTTCCTGATTGGGGAGCATTAACCTTGTATTCCAAGAGGTGTTGTAACTTTTAGGTGACCTGGATCAAAAATTCCAGGCACAGATAATTCAGAGCATATTCCACGGGTAAATAAATCAAATCAGCCTTTAAACACCATTAAATAATGTTCCTTTTTTCTGTCAAACTGCACTGTACTACAAATCTCAAATATCACTTATATAAGGTAAAGATTAAAAGAAAATGACTTACAATAACACACGTTGGGACTTCACGAAGAGAATACTCTGCTTTATTAGGAAGATCTTGATTGCCTACCAGCTCATAAACAGCAGGATACGGTAACAGGTTCACCAGTGCTAGAAAAGACTAGGCAGGGAAGAAAGAAAACACTGTCATTTAAATGGTGCATGTTTTTCAACCACATCCATGATACAGTTTTATAGGAGTATGACTATGAGGGTTAATTTTTTAGAATAAGCCTAATTAATCTACATAAATGTGAAATACATACATGTTAAGTGCCAAATAGCTAACCTCAACAATAATCTATGTGCTGATAATGCATAACAATTGTAACAGAATATATAGGAGTTGGAAAATGTTTTAAAATGTCTTGTATCTCTTGAAAAGTTTGGTTTTGAGAAAAAAAATGAAATGATTTTATTGCTGGAAAAAGCTGAATAAAATAATATTAAATGTTAAAAAAAAGAAATGATCCATCTTTCTCATTATTTGCATTGTTTTAACTGATGTGTAAGAAATACAAGAGAGTAACACTGTGGGGCTCTGAAGCAAGATAATAAATTCTATATATTCTCGCATTCAGGTCACAAGGTTTTCTTTATCCTTTAACTACATTCACTGGAAATCCAACTAACCTAATTATTATAGTTAATTTAAAAAGCCATGCCTTTACCTATCAAAACCAGCTCATTTTCTGGTGCAATCTTAACAAGTTAATCTCTCCATGAAGTTTTTAAGCTCTCACATTTCATCTTACTAAAAGCAACCTGAAGATTTTTCTCAGGCACAGTTCATTCTTTGGATCACCTGAACAAAAGCATGCAGTGGTTGCCCATCACTATCAAGCCTAAACTCCTTAGCAAGACTTTCAAGGCACTTAACTAATTGACACCTTTCTTCTCTTCACAGTGTCAAAAGCCTTGTTTTCCATTATTCCTCAGCAGGAAATCACTACTTCAGTCAATTGAATCTGCCTGTGGTCTCCTTCAAATAAATGACTGCCACATATGCAAACCTTTTGATCCTACCAACATATTCCTCCTACCCTCCCACTTACTCATTATCCCACTTCATAAACTTGCCACATTTTTTTTCTAGAAGGCTTTCTAATGAATTCTATTCACCTCTAGAAACCCTGTGTTCTGCCAATACCTGTATGTTTCATATTGTATTAGTTGTATTTATTTGTAACTATTAAGTTTTCTGCTTATCATTTTAAAAAAATTTTCACTGGATTCAGAAAATTTGAGAATCAAATTAAGAATTTTCACTGTAATCAGAACACGAGAAAATTTAGAAGAACAGTTAATTCAATCTCTCACATACTAGATGAAAAAACTTAAGGACCAGAAAAGTTAAGTGACTCAGCCAAAGACACGCAATCAGAAAGTTGGCAGCAGAACTAATCGGCATTTTCTTATTTTCAGGCTAGGTTACTCATTACAACTCCCAGTATAATCTTCAGACACTATTTAACAATGTCACCGTGCTACACAGTCCTTGTTTGAGGACTTGGAAGGTACAGTCCATTTTATCTCCACCTCCACCCTTATTATGCCAAATGCAATATTCCTTAACAAATAACAGTGGTTATAGTCAATATATTTAACACAGTGGATTTTAACAAAATGTTGCTGTAGAATGAAAAATGAATTCTTTAAAAGTTTCCTTTTCCTCCCATGAATATTCCATAAAATGAAGATGGAATTTTTAACTACTTCTAAGAAAATAATCTATATACTCCTGATTTAAACCTAGTATCATTTGGATAGCAATAAAGTTATTATAAAGTAGAATGACTAAATTTAATAACCTAGTTGCCATTTACTGAATGCTTATCTAAAGAACACTATGCAAGAAGTGTTCACTATAGAGAAAACAAAACAAAACAAAAAAACTGGTATCAAGGAAAGGATGTTTAAGGAATGTGTCAATTAATTATACATAAAATGAACTGCAGGGAAACTAGAGAATTCATGGCCACCTACGAAACCACCTAGGAAAAATTCACTAATCATCCAGGTGTTGACTACAAAGATGATTAACATAGATTTCATATTTGTATTATTCATCCAGTTTATGAAAAAAATAAGATGTTAAAAAATAAACGGAAAATGCTTTATAATTTAAATATGTAAATATTTATACATGTTCTTAATATTTACCCAGTATTTAGAGTTATAAATGAGTCTTATTTAAAATATCCTTCCTATCTATTATTACAAGAAACTTTTTAATAAATGTTCATCTTAACATCTGACACTGTCCATAAAGGCACATGGTCTTTACAAATCACATATCAATACTATCCTGAGAGTTTTTGTATTATTTGCACATGAGGAATTCCATGGGTAAACATGAAACTTCCTCCTTTCACCTAAGAAATAAAACAACCTAGACCACATAGAATCATGGTAACTTCTGATATGGTACTCTAATTATGTAAAACATAAGGTAAAAATTCAGTAATTATAGTTGAACAAAACGAACTAAACAATTTTAAAGAAACTTGAGAAAATTTCAGCAGCTTGTTTCTAGGAGAAAAAATGCATTTTTCATACAGTGAGCATTTTTTTAAAAAAACATTAGCATACTATAAAATTGTGATGTCTTATTTATAATATAATCATGAGTTCCCAAGAAAACATCATAAGATGTGCTAATATCAAACATTAATTATCCTAAAATTTATATTAGCACAAAACATTTTACTTCCATGTCTTGAAGAAAATAAGGTTTTGTAAAGTAATAGTAAGGAAACTAATTAAAGGCCAAATATTTGATGTATCTTGAGACTAAAGCATTTTAAAATTACCCAAGAACAAATACTTTTTATGAATTAAAACTCCTTCAGGTTGATAATGATCATCCATTCACTTATTAATTCAAAATATTTTAACACCAGCTGCTTATCAGCAATTATGCCAGATGCTAAGAATAAAAATATGAATGAAGGAATGGTCCCTGCCCTCAAGAACTCACACTGTAATAGAGGACAAATACACTATTAGATCATTTAAAATGGTTCTCCAAGTGATCTGATGGTACCATACTACAGAGAGGGTTGGAAGGACATTGGGAGGATCACACTATACAGCAAAGCAAGAGGAGATGAGAGCTATGACTGCAAATTAGCAGGCAGGTAGGCAGGAGGAGATGTACTATGTTAATGATCACTACCTTTATCCTCTAGGAAAAAGAACTAAGTTTTTCCAGAAAAGTAATGGGAATTTCATTTTACCTTATAGATAGAAAGCTGTGAAGGAAAATGATTTTGAGGGTAGACAGTACTGGGGGAAAATAAATTAAAATTTGGGGTTCTATCAATTATACTTATTACACCAAAAATGTATTTTTAAGTTTCTAACACAGAAATCAGAAAGTGATTTAAAAAGGCGAATTTGAGATAAGAGAATCAAACCATTTTAAATCTTTCTAATCTGTATGCCTTCCTATTTTTTTTTTTACTTATCACACTAAGATCTAATACAATGTTAAATTGATAAGAGTGAACAGATTTTAGGTCCAATATTTCACCATTAAATATGAGATTCATGTTTTTGATAGACAGTATTTATCAGATCGAATGAAATCTGCCAAGTTTTTATCATAAATGGGCATTAAGTTTTGTCAAATGATGTGTCCATGTCTACTGAAATCATCGTATGAGTCTTCTGTATTCTGTTAATATTATAGTCCCATTTTAGAATGAGAAACCAACTTTCAGTTGCTTGGGATAAACCCCACTTGATCATAAAAAATGATGGATCCTTTATGTATTACTATATACAATTTGATATTTTGTTAAATATTTAAGTCTATGCTCAGATATACTTGTCTATTTTTTTTCAGTAACAGTGTCATCTCATCCACATCAATATTATGATGGTCTCCTCACATAAGTTAGAACTTGATTCTTCAACCTCTGTTGTGCGAAAAAACTTGTGGAAGAGTGTTGTTCTAAGAGTTTCATAGAATTCACCAGTGAAACCACGTGGCTCTCTATGGAATTTGATAATGAATTCGATTTCTTTAACAGAACATAGCTATTCAGATTTTCTATTTTATACTGGGTCAGTTTTGGTAAGCATATTTAAGGAGTTTGCCAATTTTATCTTAGTTGTTTAACTTACAGCATAAAGCTGATTATAATACTCCTTTATTATTCCTTAATAACTACAGGATCTTCAGTGAAACTCTTCTTTCATTCTTGATTAACTTTGGGCCCCTCATTTTCTTGATGAGTCTAGCCAGGGGTTTATTATTTTTAATAATCATTTGCAAGTACCAACTTTTGGCTTTGTTACTTTTCTCATTTGTCTTTATTCTGTTTCATTAATTTCTGCTCTAAAGTTTATTATTTCCTTTCTTCCATTTGCTTTGGGTATAATTTGTTCTTTTTCTAGTTTCTTAGAGTGAAAACTTGACTCATTAATTTTAGATATTTCTAATATAAATATTACAGTTAAATATCCCTCTTAGCACTACTTCAGAAACATTTGCAAATTTTCTATTTTACTTTTTATTTTCTGCTTTAAAATATTTCCTAATCTCCCTTATGACTTCTTTGAGCTGTGTGAATTTAGAGGTGTATTTCCAAATATTTGGGCTTTTACAGTTTCTAGCTTGTGATACTTAGGTTCACTGTGGTCTCAGACATACTTTGTATTATTCCAATCATTTTAAGTTTATGCAGACTTAACACTCCAGCCCAGCAAGTCTCTTGGTAAGCACGCTAAGTGCTCTTGAAAATATGTGTTCTGCAGTCACTGAATATAGTAATCCATAAAGAACAATTAGATCAAGTGATAACTAGTGATATTCATATCACGTACCTGAGAACAGACTGAAAGATCTGTCACATCAATTGCTAAAAGAGGAATGTTAAAATCTTCAACTATTACTGTAGATTTGCCTATATCTTCCTTAAGTTATTTTAATGCTTCATATATTTTGAATCTCATTTCTAGGATCATAACTTATGATTGTTATGTCCTCCTGATATATTGACCAATGTTTCTTAATCCAACATTACTTCATTTTCTCTGTCTCTGACATTAAATATGGCTACTGCAGTCTTCTAATGTATATTTTTTCCTCTTTTTCTATTCATTGACTTTCAACTTATCAGTGTCTTTTTCTTTAAAGTGAATTTCTTAGAGACAACACATATTTGGGTCTTATTCTGAAAATCTCTGCATTTTAAATATTTAGTCTCTTACATGTAATGCAGTTATTGATTAGGGCTAGCATTTTCCTATTTGTTTTCTTTTTTCCCATCCCTTTTCTGTCCCTCTCTGCATGGGGTTATTTTTAGGATTTCATTTTAGCTCTACCTTTTGCATTTTATTTGTGGTTTTTCTAGGTCAGCTGTCCAATAGACCTCTCTGTGGTGTTGGAAATGTTATATTATATGCAACAATTGCTAGCTACATATAGCTACTGAACACAAGATTAAATGTACTTGAGGGACCGAATTTTTAACTTTGGTTTTAAGTAGGTTTATATAGCCACATGGTACTATTGTCTATCATATTCCAAAACACAGGTATAGAGAGGTAAGAGGAGGCTGGACTGGAAATGAGTTTAGTGTACCTCATTATATATGGAGGCCACATTATTGTTTTCTATAATTTAAAAGACAGTAAAATTAAATCCAAATTCCCTAGGGAATAATATTTAGAACTACAAGCTGGGCACTAAGAATGTTTGCTATGAGTTATTTCTAGATAATTCAGTTCACAGTTTAGAGGAATATACGTTTTTTTAACAGAAATTAACCATTAGTTTATGCTGACATTTCTAATTCAAAGTCAAAGAAGTTAAAGAAAATCCCAACCTTATAATAGAAATAGAAATATTTTCTAGGGATTAAAAATTAATGTTGTTCCACTTCATGTAAAATTTAAGAATCTTGAAACCACATAGATTTGTATACCATTATACCATTTGCTTACCCTGTGTAGTAGAGCTGTCATATATATTACCTCTAAGTATAAAATAAATCCCACTATATGTCATAGTTTTCTTTTAAAGAGTCCTATGAATTAAGAGAAAAACAGGGTTGTTGTTGTTTTTTAAAGATTTTATTTATTTATTTGAGAGAGAGAGAGCACATGAGCACAAGTGAGCAAGGGGTAGTGGCAAAGGGAGAGGGAGAGAGAGAATCCCAAGCAGGCACCATACTGAGTGCGAGCCTGACAGAAGGCTCAGATTTCATGTTCCTGAGAGCATGACCTGAGCCGAAATCAAGACTCAGAGGCTTAACGGACTGAGTCACCTAGGCACCCGAACAGGCTTTTTTATACTCACTCACCTACTTGCAATTTCTTTTCAGTCTGAAAATCCAAATATCCATCGGGTATCATTGTCCTTCAACCTGAAGAAATTCCTTTTGTGTTAAATAAAATGCAAGTCTGATAAAAAATATTTTCTTAACCTTTAAAGTTTATTTTACTTTTATCCTTGAGTACTTTTGCTGGATACAGAATTCTAGGTTGACTGGGCTTCCCCCTTCCAGCACATTAAAGATGCTCTATTATCTTCTGGCCTCCACAGTTTCTAATGAGACATCAGCACACTTTTCTGCCGTTCCCCTCTATGTATGACTTTCTATGGCTTCTTTCAAGATTTTCTCTTTATCTTTAGTTTTCAGCAGTTTGTACGGCTATAATGAGCCTTGCTGTGGTTGCCTTTGCATTTTCATTCTTTGCGTATTCTTCCTTGCGATTCACTGTTTCTTGGTCTATAAATTTACATTTTTCAAGATATTTGGAAATTCAGCTCTTGTTCAATATCTTTCTGTCCCATTCCCTTTCTTCTTCTATTTCTATATATCAATCAAAGGTATTAAAACTTTTGATAAGGTCTCACAAATCACAGAAGCATTCCCTAGTTTTTCTCTCTGTTCTTCAGATTATATAATTTCTATTTATCTATCTCAAGTTCATTTACTAGTTCTTCTGTCGTATTTAAATATTCTATTAAGCCCATCTAGAAAATTATTTCAGATAAGGTAGTTTAGTTCTAGAATTTCTATCTGGTTCTTTTATATGGTTTCTATTTCTTTACTATAATTTCCAGTTTGTTTATTCATTACAAGAATATTTTCCTTTGCATGCTACTTATAACAATTCCCTCAAAATTCTTATATATAATTCCAATTTCTTCATCATTTCAATCTCTATTAGTTGCCTTTTTCTGGGTTTGAATTGCATTTCTCTTATTCTTCATATTTCTATTAATTATGGACTATATCTAATACATTGTGAATGATCTAATCCCCAATGCTGATTTTAATAGTTAACATGGCAAATTCAAAAAAAAATTGGGGAAACATATCAAATACATAAAAGCCATTGAATTATAATAGAACATTGTATAGGTACTTTAGAATTTCTTTTTTTGGCACATTACACTAAATGATAGCATCTTCTCTTTGCCCAGTCATCCTTCAAATAATCCTGACAATTTTCTATTAGATTTAAACCCAAGGGCTTTTTTTTTTTTTTTTGCTTTGGTTGATTGGTTTTTGTTTTAGGGTTTTGGTGGGGGGAGGGAGGTTGTTTTTCATAGCATGTCTAGTGTGTATTACTCTTTATTAAGAGAAAAATTACCAAAAACATTTTGAAAGGAAAACATCCTTGCAAAATGCAATTCTCTTTGAACACTGGTAGTTCTAGCCACTTATTTTGAAAACAAAAAAATTAGAAATGAAATAAAGGAGAGAAGAGAAAGTTTGGAAAAGCTGCTGGTTGTAACTGAATATATATATATATAAAGCCTGGATGAAGTAATTTTTTTTTTTTTAAAGATTTTATTTACTTATTCATGAGAGACAGAGAGAGAGAGAAGCAGAGGGCGAAGCGCTCCCAAGGAGCAGGGAGCCCGATGTGGAACTCGATCCCAGGACCCTGGGATCATGACCTGAGCCGAAGGCAGACGCTTAACCAACTGAGCCACCCAGGCGCCCTGGATGAAGTAATTTTTGAGAGAGATACTCAGATCATTCCCTACCTTTTGACAGCTCCGGTCAATAGGATCCACTGGAGTAGATCTGGGGTGGGTTACTCTAACGTCATCTCTTCCACATTCCAGATTGGCCCATAATTCAGTTATAAGTGCATTAATAAACCCTAAGAAGAATTATGTTACATCATATTTACAGTATATTATTTCTTGGGATTATGGAAAAAGACATAATTATCCCTCTGATAAGATTGGTCCACAGTGACAAAAGACACATACTTACATCTTGTGTAAGAAATAACCTCTAACCTTGGTAGAAATTATATCTCCTACTGTTCATTATACCTTCATGATACCTCATTGTCATAAAACTGCATAATGACTAAATTCTGAGACACTATTTCCCTGGAGAACTGAATTTGGAGTCTTAGTATTTATCCCTTAGCCAATAACTTCTGAGCATGTTTTTCTGAAAAGTAAGATTTACACTTTACTCTGCAAATGAGCCAACAATGAAAGGCAGCTGAAAGATGGTATGTATGTGCATGTGTGCGTGCGTGCATGTAGCAGGTATCAAGAGGCAGGGTAGGCACTTAAAGAGTGTGTGTTCCTTATTCTAATATAACTTTTTTTTGTAATTCTTATGCTTAAAACAATTCATTTCATACAACTTCTGGCTCAATACAGTTTAAATTCTCATGAGTCAGACACTATATATCTAAATGAAAGTGATTTTTTTTTAGAGATTTTATTTATTTATTTGACAGAGAGAGAGAGCGTGAGAGGGAACACAAGCAGGGGGAGTGGGAGAGGGAGAAGCAGGCCTCCTGTGGAGCAGGGATCCCGATGTGGGGCTCGACCCCAGGACCCTGGAACCATGACCTGAGCCAAAGGCAGATGCTCAACGACTGAGCCACCCAGGTGCCCCTAGAAAGCCCATCTAGTGAAAGTGATTATTAAGGTTGATTATTAAATTCTTTTATGAAGAATCAAATTACATAAAAAAGTGTAAAACAGAACATCTAATCATAAAATCGGTAAGTTCGTGATAACATTACAGCAGAAAGGCTCCTGTGGTATAAGAGAAAAAATATGGGCTCTGAAATCAAGAATATCAGGGTTGAAATTATAAACCTGCCAGCTCAGTAGTTGTGTGTCCTTATACAAATCCCTTGACTTCTTAGAGCATCAGTTCCCCCTTTTGAAAACTGAAATAATGCTATATTTGAGGGTTGCCATGAAGAATAAATTAGAGTTACTAATATAGTACCCTAAGTTCATAGGAACACAAGCAGTGTTAGTCTTCCTTCCATGTCCTGTAAAATAACTGCATTTAACCCTCTGATGAAAAGCTTGATACCATGAGGCTTAGAAGCTTAGTGACTTGACCAACAGGGAAATCGGAGATTAAATCTAGTCTCCAAATGCTTCCATTAATGTGCCTCTAGTACGGCAGTATATTAGATTTTATATTGAGTAGAAGAAAAAATAAGTTGTTCAGTTTAGGACAACTTCTACCAAGAAACATGTTTCATAATACAAATAGTCCAAATTAGTTTAGCCAAACGGTTTTTAAGATATATTATAGTAAAATATTTTCATTTAAGGAGAGAATCAGTTGTGGCCAGTGATGTTGTAATTCATCAACCCTAAGCTTTGAAAAATATAACCATAGCATCTCTGTTAGAGGTATGGCTTGTGTCTGGTTCAGGGTTCAGATAACCTTAAGATATATTAAGTCAGTGATGTTTAAACTTCTTAAAAATCCAATCCATAGTAGTTAACACATGCTGACTGCAAAGACAGTGGTGAAAGCTAAGTGGTAAGAGGGAAGCTTTCAAGAAGCAAAAAAGGAAGAAGGGGAATAAGGAAATGGGATGTATGTATGTATGCTAACTATTGTGGTTGTAAATTCTGAAGCATATACAGGCCACTAAAACTGAGCATTAAGAAATCCTGGAAGATTCAAAAAGAAAAAGAAAGAAAGAAATCCTGTAAGATTCAGTTGTACTGAAAGGATGATATCCTTTTGATTTATAAGATGAAGACAACTTCCTAAAGATCAAGTACTTCTCGGTTTAATTTATGTTCCATTGTTCTCAGAAAAGAGAACAAGGATGTGTGTATATATATCTTTCAAGGGAAAAAAAAATCCATTGCAATTTCATGGAAGAAAAAAAATAAAAGGAAACCCCATAACTTTCCCTTACCTAAGGCCTAACTTTTCCTAACTTGGGAAAAGCTAGGCCTTACTAACTTTTCTAAAATAAACATCCTGAGAGCTGATCATGCCAGTTAAATTTTCTATTGGCTCGCTCATTTTATTTAAAATAATTAGAATTTTAATTAAAAGGAAAAACTTACCTGAACTTTGTAGTGCTATTGCGCCTGCTGCTGTTGACGCCACTTGTGCTACCAAAACTCCACAGCCAAACTTTTTATGCCTGCTGATCTAACAACGTAAGTAAGGAACAATGAAAAGCGGGAAAACATAAAATGATAACATTTTATTTACATGTTACATGCAGAGTTACTGATTCTTCTTCTTAGAATACTAGACATTCTTTCAGGAAAAGATAATGAGCAGCAAAACAAACTCAGACACCCTAACAATGAGTTAATATTTTTGACAATCTTATTTCAGATATAGGTTCTGGCCCCAGCCTTAAAATTAAGTAGCTTTTCGCCTTGAACAAGTCACTTCTCTCTCTAGTTCTAAGTCTCTTCATACATAAAATAAGGGACTTTAACCAGATGAAGATTAGCATGCCTTCCAACTTTAACTTTTATTATTTTATTCCTTAGGTTAGTTCTTCAATAATAAATTTCCTCATTAATAAATCTGTATTGACTACCAGTTGAAATATACTTGTAAATAATCAAAAACTTTAAAAAATAGTATCTTCTCAATGGTAATTATTTTTAGAGGAAATGTGATTTTTTTCCCTAAGGTAATTATATTACATATATTATATATTTATAGCCTAAATGGACTAAGACAATATTCAACACGAAGTATACACATCCCAGGATATTACACATATTAAACACATTAGTATGGAAGCCTGGGGTAGAGGGATGCATGCCAGGTGAAATGGAACTGTGAATCAGAAATGAAAGGGGAATAAAATTAATCAAGACAGACATCTTACAGTATGCCATAAACTGAGGCGTATAAATAACTAAGTTCTCTATACTTGAGATCCATTTAAATAAGAACAATAAAAACATATCTGCACATACAAACCTAATATCATAAACCCATGAACTAATGTTCATATGTTTTATTTGTTGGTCATGGCCCTCCCTCATAAACTACTTACTCTTCACAGGCAAAAACTAAAAAAAAAAAAAAGTTTTTGTGTTTCTACAGGCTTAGGCAAAAGCAGGAAGTTAGAACTGAAGAACAAATAAAAAGGTATTTACAACCTGGTAACCTAGTAACATCAATATACAACAGATGCCAGAAACAAAGAAGACACTTTTAAAAGCATACATATGGGGGCGCCTGGGTGGCTCAGTTGGTTAAGCGACTGCCTTCGGCTCAGGTCATGATCCTGGAGTCCCTGGATCGAGTCCCGCATCGGGCTCCCTGCTCGGCGAGGAGCCTGCTTCTCCCTCTAACCCTCCCCCCTCTCATGTACTCTCTCTCTCTCATTCTCACTCTCTCAAATAAATAAATCTTAAAAAAAAAAAAAATTTTTTTAAAAAAAGCATACATATGATCCTAAAAAGCCAAGAAGTTCAGAGATGTTTATACTATCACACCAAAAAGCTGAATATACCTCATTGAACATACCTCATTGAATATATCTCACTGAACATCTGAGAAAGGACTAAATTATACTCTATATTTTATTTAACAGTATCAGTAAAATCCCTCTACAAATATTTTTTACTGTGAAGACTAAATTCTTATTAACATGTACATTTAGACCCAATGAGGTTTCTCCCCCTCCTGAAATTCCACCCAGTTTTAGTGTAACCAGATGTTTATTATATTTATAACACATCTGGATGGTTAACTATATTTTTCAATTCCATCTGGTTGCTTCCCATCCTGTAAACATATCCATAGATAGAAACATCAACTCTAATGCTTTCCTGAAAAAATATCAAGTTAAATATTACAATGCTATATGGCTTTTTAATTCAGGTTTAATAACCTCTTCACGCAGAGAAGACAGAATGATGTTCTTAGTGGCTTTTACAGCAACAAAAACTCTTTTTGCCTGCAGCAGATGGTAATTCATACCTGTAATTTTTTTGCATATCGATTGAACATAAACATCACACATTCGTTGATGGCACCTGTTCTTTGAAGAAACAGTAGTCCTTTGGGAGTGGCAGCAAAATTTAGTAAATCATCTAACAAATTCTCTTCCCAAGCCATACTGAAACAGGTAAAAAGAAAGGTATGCATTTCTTTATTACATTCAAAACTGAAAAGAAAATATTTCAGCTTAATACTGCTAGTAAATTTATAGAGTACATATTGATGGCTAAGTATTCAGTTTAAAAAATAAGATAAAAAGTATGGGCTTCTTTGATATTGAGTTTTTATTATTATATTTTCTAACCCAATAATTTTAACTTTAATCAAATATTAACTATAGGTGCCAGCATTTTTATTACATCTAGGTTCTCTCATCTTTGCTTTAATTTCATTCTCTTCTACCATAATTCTGCTGGGCCTGGAGTCCCCAAGTCCCAAATCTCCATTATTTCTATACTTTCTTTTCATTACAGAGTATCTGTCTTCCAACTTTCTAAAGCATATCAGGTACAGTATCTTTATTTTCATAGGTTTTTAATTTTACTTTTGGAGAATGATATTTTTTTCCTCAAAACACTTTTAAAAGGAAGGCCACTAACATTCTTCAGAGAAAAAGTCTGAAACATTCAGAAGACACAATTAATAGGAGAGTAAGAGCTGGACACATGGAAATGTAGGAGGGGATATGAGCACTTCATTCGGAAGTACCAAAAGGAGAAAATGTACTACCTACTGGATAGTCCTAGTTGTCTGGAAAGAAACTGGATATAAAAGTAGGCCAAAAACCAGTATCTACATGTATAGTGAAACTGTGAGTATGGAGATGTGTGCCATTCCCCTCCCCAATTAGGAAGTGTCAGAGTCTGTTTTGAAAAGAACTGTAAAGAAATTTGAAATCCAGGACTTTTCTAATCAAAACAAGAATCATTAGTACATATTTTGACACATATCCTCTATGCCAATCACAAAGCAATGGCCAAAGATATAACCATGTTTAAATAACAAATTCCACCATGGACAGAGAACAGAAATACAAAAAAATGGAACTCTACTTTTAAGGTAAACGGAGATAATGGAAACCAAATTTAGTTCCAGTAGGATATAAATGACTAACGGAATTACATATGAGACACAAGACCAGTGTTAGGCTCACTGCTTTAGACCTAGGACTGGGTAAGACTAATAAAAATAATATATATTTAACTGAATTAAAATAAAATTTATATATTTAAAGAAATATCACATATAACAAAATACTTACATATGTATAACACAGGCTCTAAAAGTGGGACTTTGACAAGCCATAAGCCTAGGGCAACAGGAAGACACAGACAGATACTCATTTCTAGAAATGAGCATATGATCAATTTATTTTCTAGTTCTTCAGTTGTATCTGTGATATCTGCATCATCACTGACAGAAGCCTCAAAATGCCAATACAATATCTATTTAAAACATGACCATAAAGAGAAAAACCATAAAACTGGACATGAAGAAATGAACATAAAAACGTAAGTAGGGAGAAACAGTAAGGGAAGAGGGAGAAAAGTAGGGAAGGAAACAAACAAAAAAATCTCTCAAAAATGAACTCCCAAACTTTAAAAGATATCTAAAGCTAAGAGATAGCAGAATCAAACTTATCAAATGAATCCATTCCAGCTGAAATAATTTTCAGAAATCATGACTAAAATAAATTTATGATACTGAAAGGAAGTTTTTAAAATTTTTCTATTAAAACTGAAGCAAAAAGCAAAGGGTAAATAAAAACAGGTACATTTTTTAAAAAGAACCACTGGAAATTTTGGAAATAAAAAAACATAGCCACTTAAACACATACAAAGATTGACTGGATAGCAGATAAGAAATAAATGTTTAACAGATGAGACACAGAACACATACTGAAAGGTCTCAACATACATCAAATAAAAGCAGTAAAAGAGAAGGAAAGGAATATTTAAAAAGATAATAAAATTTTTCTAGATTTGAGGAAAGACACCAGTCCAAAAAAACAACAACAACAACAACAAAAACCCAACACAACTAAATCATAAGCTATGAGAGACAAAATCTATGACCTATAAGAGAAAGGTGATTATATTAACAGATTCATCAGTTACTACTTATTCCAGAAGAAAATGGAGTAATAGTTTGAAATACTGATGAGAAATAATTACCTATCAAAACTTTTATACCCAGAGAAACTATCAAGTACCCTTAACAGTGAGGGTGAGGGGCGCCTGGGTGGCTCAGTCAGTTAAGCGTCGGACTCTTGATTTCAGCTCAGGTCATGAACTCAGGATTGTGGGATTGAGCCCTGTGTCCAGCTCCAAGCTCAACACGGAGTCAGCCTGGGATCACTCTCTCCCTTTCCCTCTGCCCCTTTTCTCTCTCTCCCTCTCTTTCTCTCTCTCTCTCTCAATAAAATCTTAAAAAAAAAAAAAGTGAGGGTGAGACAGAGGGTGGGGAGGGGATGGAGAGAACAGATACATTGAGGGGTGGGTTTGTGGGTTGGAGGGAAAATAGTCATTTTCAGATAGAAAGAGAGTATCAGTTAACTACTCTCAAATCCTTAAACAATAATTAAAGGAAAACTATTTGGAAACTTAAACATATACTTCATTAGGGGGGAAAAAGGTGAGCCTATGAGAAAGAATAGGCTACAAGTTTCAATGAATGGCAAAAATAATAAATGTCTACAAATTGAATAACTGACTGAAAAGAAAAATTAGGAGCTTCCAATAAAGAACACAAAGTAAGGTTTTTCAAGCAAAGGCAGATTATGGGTTTAACTGACCCTGTACTACATCACAAAATCTCAACCAACATAAAAGGATACATACCATTCTATCCAGGTTCTCTGAAAATATAAATTAATTATCAGTCAACAGTTTAAAAAAAGATAGTAGTAAAAATAACTGTTTGAAAACAAGTGTACTGCAAATATTTCATGGATTAAAGAGTAAAATAAAAATAGAGAGTTCTTAAAATATTTAAAAGAGCTTAATATGAAAGTGCTACATATAAAAATGTATTAAAATTAGTATGGCTGATGTAGATTGCTTCTCTCACCATCCATTCTCATTTCCCTTTTCATTTACTTTCCTGTACTACAGAATGAGGGAAGGAGAGACAATGAAAAGAAGAGGGAGAGAGATGAAAAGAGCATTAGCAAAACCAAAACCTGATCTTTGCATAAACTAATGCAATAAAGTAGTTAAGGGGGGACAACGGCCAAAAAATACTAAGACTCTAAAAATAATTACAGCTAAAGAATTTCTTTAATCATACAAGAATACCTTGAACAAGTCAACAAAAATGTGTATGTTTAGATTAAAAAATGTAGTATTTTTAAAAAACATAATCAAATATCTGAAACACAAATAAAAAACCTGAATAACCATTAGCCATTAAATAAAGAGCATTTTAAAGTTTACCTTGACTCCCACCCCTGAAATAAAACAACACAGGCAAAAAAACTTATAGGTTGCATCCCATTCTCAAAAATTACAGAGAACTGACATAATTTATTTTTTTCTGCCATGATTTTAGCATTTAATTCTCTTTCAATTATAGAGAAGATACTATTTCAAAATGGAAAATCCAAGCCATTGAATTGTTTATTGGTGCTGGGATAAGGGCAATGGCAAAGAATACATGGTTTTGTCAGCTTATGAGAACTCCATTCTTTGAATGGTTAGATATTATGGAGGGTTAGACACTTTCATGGAAATTGAGATTTAGGTGTTTATTTCTTTGAGATCATAGGCTGAGTTTTACAGATTAAAGACTCCCCCCACCCCCAACTTTACTTCACCCTCTAGTTTTCTAAAGGCCCCTTGATTGGTTGGGGCGGATTGGGCACCTTGTTGTCCCTCTGATTATATTCTTCTCTATGGTCACCCTAATGATGATCCCACATAGCTTGTCATCACAATTAATCAACCAAACCAGCATGGTAGAAATTTGAGTTGAGATTGCAATTCAAAGTCTAGATTTAAAAGACACCAATCCCCGGGCGCCTGGGTGGCTCAGATGGTTAAGCGTCTGCCTTCGGCTCAGGTCATGATCTCAGGGTCCTGGGATCGAGTCCCGCATCAGGCTTCCTGCTCCTTGGGAGCCTGCTTCTCCCTCTGCCTCTCTCTCTCTCTCTCTCTCTGTCTCTCATGAATAAATAAATAAAATCTTAAAAAAAAAAAAATGGTTAAAAGACACCAATCCCCTATGATGACTACATAAATACTTCTATCTTCTCTGTAGTAAACATCAATAAATGGAAGGATGGAGGGGAAATCTCTAACATATGTTATCGGAAAATATAAGATCAAAATACCTAACATTAGTCTGTCAGAGGCTCAAAAATAAGACTTTTAGCAACTTACTTTTAATTTTACCTTTATCATATCAGTCTTACTGTTGGTCTTACTGGCGTCTAGAGGTAGGAGAAGTGTTATTAATTTATTCACTGATTCAAGAAAGGTATCAGGAAAGGGAGAAGATATCTGCAAATGGTATATCTGATAAAGGATTAGTATCCAAAATACATAAAGAACTTATACAACTCGGGGCGCCTGGGTGGCTCAGATGGTTAAGCGTCTGCCTTCGGCTCGGGTCATGATCTCAGGGTCCTGGGATCGAGTCCCGCATCGGGCTTTCTGCTCCTTGGGAGCCTGCTTCTCCCTCTGCCTCTCTCTCTCTCTGTCTCTCATGAATAAATAAATAAAATCTTTAAAAAAAAAAAAAGAACTTATACAACTCAATACCCTCCAAAAAAATATTCCAATTAAAAAATGGGCAGAAGATAACGAGAATAGACATTTCATAAAAGAAGACATACAGAGGGCTAACAGACACATGAAGAGATGTTCAACATCAATCATCAGGGAAATGCGAATCAAAACCACAATGAGATATCACCTCACACCTGTTATAATGGCTCAAATGAAAAACACAAAAAAACAGCAAGTGTTGGCAAGGATGTGGAGAAAAAAAAGGAACCCTTGTGCACTGTTGGTGGGAACACGAACTGGTGCAGCCACTAAGGAAAACACTTTGGAGGTTCCTCAAAAAATTAAGAATAGATCTACCATATGATCCAGTAATTCCACTACTGGGTATTTACCCAAAAAACGTGAAAACACTAATTTAAAAAGATATGTACCCCTATGTTTATTGCAGCATTATTTACAATAGCCAAACATGGAAGCAGCCAAAGTGTCCATCATTAAATGAATGAACAAGAGGTGGTATGTATATATGTGTGCATATATATATACATGCGCGCATACACACACACACACACACACACACACACACACACACACACAATGGAATAGTACTTAGCCATAAAAGAGAATGAAATCATGCTATTCGCAATAACATGGATGGAGCTACAAAGTATAATGCTAAGTGAAATACGTCAGCTGGAAACAGACAAATACCATGTGATTTCACTCATATGTGGAATTTAAGAAACAAAACAAATGAACCAAAAAAAAAAAAAAAAGACAAACCAAAAAGCAGACTTAACTATAGAGAACAAACAGATGGTTACCAGAGGGGAGGTAGATGGGGGGATGGGTGAAAACAGGTGAAGGGGTTTAAGAGTACGCTTATCATGATGAGCACTGAGTAATGTATGGAATTGTTAAATCACTATACTGTATACCTGAAACTAATATAACACTCACTGTATGTTAATTATACTGGAATTTTTAAAAAAAAAAAAAAAAGGAAAAGAAACATATTAGGAATCTGCTATGTACTGGCATTAGGATATGTTTAGTTAACTGACCCTGATGGTTTTACACTCAAGTTTTACCAAATTATGAAGCAACAAATAATGTCTATCTCACACCAACTTCTCGATTAACACAAAAGAACAAAAGACATTCAACTCTAAGTGCTAATTTAATTTTGATGATGAAAATGAAATCAACAGTTCTGACTCTATATTATCAAAAACTCTATTAAATCTTTTGTTTCTAAGACATTAATGTCATGTTGAGGGAACCTCCTTCTCCCCCAGAAACAAGTTTCCACATGGAGCACATTCCCCAGTTTAACACTTCTTGCCCCTCCCCACCTAATCACTTACTCCTCCCATAGAAGAAGGGACTCTGGCGATTTGGAGAATGACCTAAGCATGCCTAGCTAGCAATGCCTCTCTCTCAGCCTACTTGTTTGTGATCCACCTACCTGTAGGAAGCACACATTCTGCTTCCTCTACACATTAGAGGGAAGCCTACGGCCGTCCACTGCCAATTGTGACAGAAGGGTAAATCTAATTCTTGAGATCTTAGGAAGCCTGTGTTATTCAGTGTTTTAATTTGTTTGACTTCTTTATCACTATTACTTGGTTCACAATTCAGGAGGGAAGGAATGGCATATAATTTATTAGCTCCTTCACACTCTAATTTCAGAATCTAAAAATATTACTCAAAGTAAAATGTATTAACTACATTAATCATGTTCCCTCTTCTAGCCTATTGACCATTTCTTCCATCTGAAATAATGTTTAGTTTTTAGTCAATTAACATATATTATCTTTAACTTAGCTTAACAACTTCTTATGGAAAGATTCCCCCATAAGTTGCCTCCCAATGGACCCCACATGGCCCCATCATATAAATTTAGCATACTATGCTGCCACATTGTATTTATTTGTATTCTACAGGACACAATAAGCTCCTTTAAGGCATACAGGTATCCTAAGAAGTCAAAGCACTTGGTCCAATATATAGCTGAATGAATTAGAAAATGAATGCATGAATGAAATGAAAAATGACAAATCACAAAGATCTCAAAGAAAACAGATCTAGGGGTGCCTGGGTGGCTCAGTCAGTTAAGCGGCTGCCTTAGGCTCAGATCATGGTCTCAGGGTCTTGTGATGGAGCCCACATCAGGCTCCCTGCTTAGCAGGGAGTCTGCTTCTCCCTCTGCCGCCCCCGTCCCACCCACCCCTGCTCTGTGCTCCCCCTCTCTCTCAAATAAATAAATAAAATCTTTAAAAGAAAAGAAAACAGATCTATGGGCGCCTGGGTGGCTCAGTTGGTTAAGCGACTGCCTTCGGCTCAGGTCATGATCCTGGAGTCCCAGGATCGAGTCCCAAATCGGGCTCCCTGCTCAGCGGGGGGTCTGCTTCCCCCTCTGCCCTCTTCCCTCTCGTGCTCTCTGTCTCTTATTCTCTCTCTCTCAAATAAATAAATAAAATCTTTAAAAAAAAAAAGAAAAAAAGAAAAGAAAACAGATCTAAAAATTACCTCAAAAATTGCATAAATGTTCTCCCCTCCTCTCTCATACACACACGTACACACACACACACAATGGCAATGGATTTAAGTTTATGACAACTATCAGAAAAAAAATTTAGCTGATTTTTAGAGAAGAATTAACTATTTTTTGAACCATTACACTGTTAAGGAAATGAAAAAGGCTTTTTGTTTGACTTCTTTAAACTATGTCTACCTGAAATGTTGATTTTTAAATTTTTCTTAAGAATATCCCTTGAAGTTCTATTATCTGTTTAGAGTATGCCAACAACTAAGAAGAGAATTCCAGTACATAAGTCACCAGATCTTAATTTTTAAAAAATGTTTTTTTCTCATTAATCTGACTCCATGTCCTATTGGTATTTGTGAAAAAACATGGAGACGTCTAAATTAAAAACCAGTGTAAATACTGATTTTAATTATTTTCCAATGCCAAAATCTAATTAAAATGCATTCCCACACATTTTGAAAAATCATAATTTAAATATAAATAGACTTCATTGGCATTTGAAAACACTTTATTCCTACGGGAAATCCCTAGTTAGCTTTCCAAATCTAGTATTTGATAATTCTCCACATTTTCGGGAAACATTACAACAGATCCAATTTCTTAACCCCAAATGTAAACACAGGATAAAGCAAGTATAATAAATAATGTTAGATTTAAGGTAAAAGTATGACATGATCTCTAAAGCTCCCCCTAGATGTAATTTTCCCTAATCTTATATGTATACAGTTTCCTTTCTGTATTTTCTTTTTTAAAAGTTTTTATTTCAATCCCAGTTAATTAACATACGGTGTAATATTAGTTTCAGGTGTATTTTTGCTACATCATTCAATTACATTCTCATTTAAATTATTTCAGCAAATGTAGAGAAACAGATAAGTTTAGTCAATTGTGCTTACATGTTTTGGGATTCCTGGCTTACTGAAGAAACAGAATCCGAACCCTTTACTGGAGTAGGAATTCTTTCTGATAGCAAACTTGTCTAAAATACAACAGATTACATTATTTTTTATAGATAGCATTATTCATAAGATCTCATGATACATTTTTACAGTTGATCCTTAATATAATTAAAATTAAATTACCTTCAAATTTTAAGTTATTTGGTTTTTCATTAAATATCATGTAAAATTATTTTATAAAGGAAGTATATAAATGTGGGGGAAAAAGGCTTAGTTCACTGATACATACTACATTTGACTATTGCTACATTATAATCTCCAGTGTCCATAACAAAGCCCCAGCTGTCTGTAAAAATTGCTCAGAAATAGCTTCCAAAGAAGAATGTCAGTTTATGCAAAGATAATTTATCTAAAGGCTCTCCTACCAGAAGAAAAGATTTTGAAGTGCCCAGTTTGGTCCTAAAACTTTGCCCTGGTAGGAAATGAGATGAAGTCATCCTGTACCAAATTAAAAAGCATTATGTTCCCCAGAGTACTGTGACGCTAAGAAAGTCGTATTTGCCCCAGTAAAAGATTTTAACTGCATTATAATGGTGACTATATTTGAAATAAAGATTTACAGGAAGGGAAAAAAGCTTGAAAATTCTTACCTTCTTCCACGCCTTTGCTATAGACTCATGCAAACTATAAGGAATTAACACCTGTAAGCCTTCACATGTACCATATATTTGACGACACACAGAAATAAAAGCTCCTTTAACCACGGGCAACATTTCCGATCCAGAAAAAATAGAAATATCTTCATCAAGAAGTTTTTTCGAAAACTGGGCAATTATATGAGCACCTGTAGGACTAAAACATGATAGACTAAAAGTGATTCCAATGTTATAAATCATGACCTCTTAAAGTACTACCAAAAAGTCTAGCCATATCACAAACTTTGCATTTACTTGGCTTCCCTTTGGTTCTCTACCTATTCTCTAACATATCAATATTCCTGTTTCCACACATGTACAGACAAATGTCTAATAAGGAGAACAGTTTCAGGAGACTAGAGGAAAGAATACGCAGATAGAAAAAAGCAAAACTATATGCTTAAAAGGTTATAGACACCATGGGCCCACAGCCATATGTAACTTCACCTGATTGTAGTAAAAACATAATCCTGAGTTCCCAAGCCATTAATAAGATGTAGCTCCTCTATTTCAGAGGCTGGGCACTTTCATAGTAATAATAAATAAGGAAATCATAGTAAATACTTAATATGCCAGGCATTGTTCTAAGTATTTTAGATGTATTAACTCATTTAATTCTTACACTAACCGTATGAAGTAGATATATTCTTCACTTTTTAAAAAGATAAGGAAATACAGTTAAAGCTTACAGGAGTTAAGTAACTTAAACAATATCACATAGCTAGTAAGAAGTGGAGCCAGGACTCAAACCCAGGGTATCTAGCTCCAGGGCAGCACACTTTTAGTTTTTCTGGCTTTAAAAACAAACACAGTAAGCTGTGGATAGGATAGGGTACTGACTCTCCGTGTACTCCTCCACCCATCTTCAACAGTTATTAACATTTTGCCAGTCTTGTTTTATCTATTCCCTGACCTTCCCCTCTGCCCACCTCTACTAGAATATTGTATGTTAAATGCCAGACATCATTTTACCTAGTGTACATCTCTGATTAAGGTTTCTATGTTACATGCCAATACCCCAACTAACAAAACATAATTTTTTAATATAATCTGATAATCCACCCATATCAAGATTCTTCTGATTGTCTTAAGGTGTTTCTTATAATAGATTTGTATAAATCAAAATTCAAACAAGTTTCACAGAGTGCATTAAGTTATTGTGATCATTTAGGCCCCCTCTTTTCTTTTTTACCCATGCCATTAATTTGGAGAAATGACATATTTTCCCTATCCATTCTTTATATGGATAATTGCTTCACCATGCTGTCATTTAATGTGTTCCTCTACTTCTCCATATTTCTTATAAATTGATAATTATATGTAGAGGCTTAAAGTTCAACTTCTTTTTTCTTGGCCAAATAACTTCATAGGTGGTTGCTGTTGTGTACCTTCTACTGCATCGTATCATTAGATACATATCTGGTTATTCCAATTGTAATGATGCTAAAAATCAACTGGTCAGATGGTATGAGCCTGAACTCTCCAGTGGGAAGTCCTCCCCACATCAAGCCTTTCACCTAATGGTTTTAGCATCAATTCATGATAATTTCCTAAATCAACTATTTCATTAGGAGTTACCAAATGATGATTTTCTAGTTATTCTGCATTTATTAACTAAAATTTTTCTATGAAGAACTTTATCCACAGTAACTTAATAGTTACATTAAAATACAGTTTGTACAGGGGTGCCTGGGTGGCACAGTCAGTTAAGTGTCCAATTCTTGGTTTCAGCTCAGGTCCTGATCTCAGGGTCAGGAGACTGAGCCCGGCATTGGGCTCCATGCTCAGCACAGACTCTGCTTGAGATTCTCTCTCTCTCTCTCCCTCTGCCCCTTCTACTCGTACTCATGCTTGCACACTCTCCCCCTAATCAACAAATGAATCTTTAAAAAAAAAAATACAGTTTGTACAGGAAATAGAAAAAAAGATTTTGAACATTTTTAATCAACTTGCAAAATAATGAGTTGGTGTCCTCAAAACCTCAACTGGTAATTGACAAGGTTTTTTTTTTTTTTTAATTTTAGTGTGTTTTTAAAACCATTTTTGCAGGCTTTATGTATGTCAATCATTCAAGTCATTTTTTTAATCCTCAAATTATCTACCTTAAACCAGTAGGAGGCCCCTTCTGGTGGCTTGGGGTACTTCTGACACTATGTCTTTAGTCTTAGATAATTTCCTTACTTTCTAGAATGGTAAGATATCTCAGGATCACCTTGCATATTTCCTAGCCCAATGCAGAAACAACTACCTTCAAGGATCCCTTCCCCCTTTTGTAGGAAAAAACAACAATAACAAAAACTTAGATATTTAGAGACCACAATCTGGGTGCCAACTCATTGTTAAGGGATTGTTATTACTTCTAGGCCTCTTCAGTGGTAGTTCTGAGAAAAGCATAAGAAAAATAAATTAATACTTATATTTCCATTATGAATTTAAAATTCAAGTTTAACTTCTTTAATTCTATATTCTAGTTCCTTATGATGCTAATTACTTATTTGCTTTATTTTAGAATATGTTCATAATAGTTTCAAAATATATTGATTGCAGTTTAAGATTATTTTGAGAATTTTTTCTTCCAACCTTATGATATATCCCACTAGAAATGTTCAAATCAGGTCACTTGAGGTAATTCTTTCCTCTGCATGGGTAGGTCACTAACTTGCTTGGTAGTTAAATTCACTTATTCCCATTTGTTTGAATTTCTTTGAAATGTGAATTTTTCTTTTTGATTTAACTTTTACATTCAGCATGTAAAACAGCGACATGATTCCAAAGTCAAATCTAGGTACAATGAAGGTATAAACCCATATATCTTCAATCTCTACCTCCCTATCCACGTTTTCTCTCTTCCTGTAAAACTATTACTTTTCAGTTTACCCTTTTATCACTCCTTTAGAAAAATAACAATAGGATTTGGTTTATTCATATTCCCTTCCATTATATAAAAGGTAGCATTCTAAAACTTTCTTCTGAGTTTTGTTTGTTCACAGATATCCTGAAGATAACTCCACAGCAATACGTAAAAAAATTCCATGTTCCCATTGCACAGCTGCTAAGTGCTCCTTTGTACAAACACAATTTAATCAATTAGCCTCTTCTTATTGGACATTTGAGATGATTCCAGTCTTTTTCCAATATAAATAATATAATCAGAAACAACCACAGCATGATGGTGATTCAAAAGAAACTGACATTTAATGTCTTATCTGTTTAACTTCAACATAAGGGAAACTAATTAACCGTTGAACACTACATCAAAAACTAATGATGTACTATAAGTTGGCTAACTGAACATAATAAAAATTTTTAAAACTTAAAAACTTAGAAATACTAATGATTGGGGAAAAATTGACTACATAATTAAATGTCTATAAGCAAAAAAAAAAAAACAATGAAATAGGGAAGTAATGAAGAATAAAAAGAAACCTTAGAACTCATGATAAAAGGTTAGTCTTCTTCATTTTACAAAAGATTATTATCTATATAGAAAAAGACTTCCAGTTGAATATGGCAGATTGAACACATACATTCACATCTGCACCCTCTTAAAATAGTAAAATGCAAAAGTGAAGGGAATTTTCAGAAGGCCTTTATAGCTGTCAAGGAGAAAAGAAAGGATGTGACAGTAACAATGTTTTGGAATCTAGAAAGTTGAAAAAAACAAAAAGTAACTCAGGACCTGGAAAAACTGAATGATCAGCCACAATATAGAAAACAGAACACAATTTATCTCATAGAACCTCTCAAAAAACTCAAATTGGTTCTACTAGGGGTAGAAGTGGGACTGAAAACAGAAGAGCTGCCTGAAAGCAACTTAAAAAGAAGTCTGACCAGCTTCCCTTCCACATTCCATATAGCCACCCGCATGTATCTTTTGGAAAGCAGGCAAAGATCAAGAACAGTAGAGAGTACCACAGGGTTAAATCAAAGCTTATAGAGTAAAACTTGAAAACCACTTTCTCCACCCAGTAATCTTCTCCCGCTAAGCTTATACTCTCTGCAGGCGGCTAGCTATAGGATCCTTCTCTATGGAATCTGACCAGAACAAAGACTAAAGAGGCTGGTATTAGAGGTTCCCAAAACAAATCCATGGCAAGATTCCCCCATAGCAAAGACCACAAGTAAAAAGGTCCCATGTTCCTGCATAGTTCTCAAACAGCTATTTACTGACTTTTAAGTATCTGAAGAAATCTCGAATTTAAAATTGGAAACCAAGACAACAAATAGAAAAATCAATGTGGAAGGAAAAAAGAAAATGAGAAATGAAAACTTTTTATCTTCACGGATATAAGAGAACTTAAAACTCATGAAACAAGAATAGGATAGTAGAATAAGAATGTTCTTTTATAGAAAAAATATAACTTAAGAAATGCAAACCACAATCTGAATCTAAGGGCTAGAAAATAAAGCTGAGTACATTTCTTAGACGGTAAAAAACTTAAAAAGCAAGCTCCTGGAGGGGAGGTCCAAGATAGTGATAGGAAAATTCTCCTCCCATGGATACACCCAAGCTACATATGATCATTTCCCTGTGAAAAAGATCTGAAAACTAAATGAACTGCTTCCCACAACAAAGGATAAAAGGACCATATCAAAACAGGTAGGAGAAGTAGAGACACAGTCTCCCAAAAAACACCCCACTCACGGCATGGCAACACATAACAAGAAGGGATCTCACCAGACAGATGCTTCTCCCAGAGGAGTAAAAGGTTGGTACCCCACATCAGGGACCCCACTCCTGGGATCTACACCAGAGAAATAAGCCCACAGAACACCTGCCTTGGAAAACCAAAAGGGCTAACATCCAGGGGGTCTAAAAGAGCTATAAGGAAACAGATTCCCCTCTTGAAGGGATTGTTTGTGGTCTTGCCCCAAGACCCAGCAAAGAAACAGTAGTCTGGACAGGCCCCTAGACTGTATGTATGTAAAGGAGACTCATTTGCTAATGTGGGGGCATTGGCTGGAAGGGCGGGGGACAGTTGAGATGCTCTTCAGAGACAGATGAGGATGGTAGATGCCACAGATGCACTCTCCACATGGCCTGCTAGCAGGGCTACCACCACCTTGCTGGTACAGCAGGGGTGAGCTTTTGTGGCACTTGCTGAGGCCAGGTGGAGAGCTGCAGTACTCCCCAACTCCCCAGCTGGAACATGGGAGTGTGAGCTGTCGGGAAGTCTCCTATTCCCAACCTAAAGCCAGTATACAGACAAGGCACTCTCCACCTCTATTACAGAAGCCCATGGAAACATACACTCAAGACATTTTCCTGTTGTCTTTCTAAAGCTAGTGAATGTGCCCTGTTCTCTACACCCTCTAGCTGCCTTGCTCAAGCCAGCAGATGGACACAAACCACACCCCTTGATCACCTGGCCCTGAGCTCCACCAGCGTATAACAACTGGAAAGACCATTCTTGACAGGCCATCAATCCCAGGGCCCTGCACCAACAGCAGACTGAAACAATCCCAGTCTTCCTATAAAAAAGGCCTATTTTCTGTACCTCTGAAACAAATAATGCAATA